TAGGGTTAGGGGTAGGGTTAGACGCACTCTTACGACGACCATCTCTCAGAAACACGGATGCGTTTGACGCCAGCGATCAGCTCAGCTCACGATGCTTTTGGGAATCGCAGCTCAGATTTAAATCAGCCGTTCGTCACATCTGAATTATAAACAATATAGCGATTTCTATTTAACGTTAGTACATCGTGCAACGCTAGACTGTTTGTGTGTGTGTGTGTGTGTGTGTGTCATTCACTGAAATGTAAGTTCAGCTGCAGGCGATAGTGGCCGCGTGACCCGCCTCTTCCCACTCCGCGACCCAGTTTGAAACCGCTTCGTTTCTCTCTGAGCGCCGCTAACGTGTTTCTCTCTGAGCGCCGCTAACGTGTTTCTCTCTGAGCGCCGCTAACGTGTTTCTCTCTGAGCGCAGCTAACGTGTTTCTCTGAGCGCAGCTAACGTGTTTCTCTCTGAGCGCAGCTAACGTGTTTCTCTCTGAGCGCAGCTAACGTGTTTCTCTCTGAGCGCCGCTAACGTGTTTCTCTCTGAGCGCAGCTAACGTGTTTCTCTCTGAGCGCCGCTAACGTGTTTCTCTCTGAGCGCCACTAACGTGTTTCTCTCTGAGCGCAGCTAACATGTTTCTCTCTGAGCGCCGCTAACGTGTTTCTCTCTGAGCGCAGCTAACGTGTTTCTCTCTGAGCGCCGCTAACGTGTTTCTCTCTGAGCGCAGCTAACGTGTTTCTCTCTGAGCGCCGCTAACGTGTTTCTCTCTGAGCGCCGCTAACGTGTTTCTCTCTGAGCGCCGCTAACGTGTTTCTCTCTGAGCGCCGCTAACGTGTTTCTCTCTGAGCGCAGCTAACGTGTTTCTCTCTGAGCGCAGCTAACGTGTTTCTCTCTGAGCGCAGCTAACGTGTTTCTCTCTGAGCGCAGCTAACGTGTTTCTCTCTGAGCGCAGCTAACGTGTTTCTCTCTGAGCGCCGCTAACGTGTTTCTCTCTGAGCGCAGCTAACGTGTTTCTCTCTGAGCGCCGCTAACGTGTTTCTCTCTGAGCGCAGCTAACGTGTTTCTCTCTTAGCGCCGCTAACGTGTTTCTCTCTTAGCGCAGCTAACGTGTTTCTCTCTGAGCGCCGCTAACGTGTTTCTCTCTGAGCGCAGCTAATGTGTTTCTCTCTGAGCGCAGCTAACGTGTTTCTCTCTGAGCGCAGCTAACGTGTTTCTCTCTGAGCGCCGCTAACGTGTTTCTCTCTGAGCGCCGCTAACGTGTTTCTCTCTGAGCGCCGCTAACGTGTTTCTCTCTGAGCGCCGCTAACGTGTTTCTCTCTGAGCGCCGCTAACGTGTTTCTCTCTGAGCGCAGCTAACGTGTTTCTCTCTGAGCGCAGCTAACGTGTTTCTCTCTGAGCGCAGCTAACGTGTTTCTCTCTGAGCGCAGCTAACGTGTTTCTCTCTGAGCGCCGCTAACGTGTTTCTCTCTGAGCGCCGCTAACGTGTTTCTCTCTGAGCGCCGCTAACGTGTTTCTCTCTGAGCGCCGCTAACGTGTTTCTCTCTGAGCGCCGCTAACGTGTTTCTCTCTGAGCGCAGCTGACATGTTTCTCTCTGAGCGCCGCTAACGTGTTTCTCTCTTAGCGCCGCTAACGTGTTTCTCTCTGAGCGCAGCTGACGTGTTTCTCTCTGAGCGCCGCTAACGTGTTTCTCTCTGAGCGCCGCTAACGTGTTTCTCTCTGAGCGCAGCTAACGTGTTTCTCTCTGAGCGCAGCTAACGTGTTTCTCTCTGAGCGCCGGTAACGTGTTTCTCTCTGAGCGCAGCTAACGTGTTTCTCTCTGAGCGCCGCTAACGTGTTTCTCTCTGAGCGCCGCTAACGTGTTTCTCTCTGAGCGCCGCTAACGTGTTTCTCTCTGAGCGCCGCTAACGTGTTTCTCTCTGAGCGCCGCTAACGTGTTTCTCTCTGAGCGCCGCTAACGTGTTTCTCTCTGAGCGCCGCTAACGTGTTTCTCTCTGAGCGCCGCTAACGTGTTTCTCTCTGAGCGCCGCTAACGTGTTTCTCTCTGAGCGCCGCTAACGTGTTTCTCTGAGCGCAGCTACGAGCCTACAGCCAGACGCGGTACAGCGGAGAGAGCCGTGAGTTTGAGAGTGACTGTGGCGTGACACGTCTCGCGTCCTTCAGGGTGATCCGAGGAAACTGGCTGCTGTTCGATGAGGAGGGATATTCTGGGAACCAGTGTATCCTGGGGGAGGGGCTTTACCCTGACCTCACTTCCTGTGGCTGTTTATCGAGCGCCATCAAGTCTTTAAAGCCCATTCCATACGTGAGTCGATGACAGCAAACATCACCACATTACAGTAGACACAAGAAATAAACATGCTTGCCGTGACAATCGTTTGTGTTTCTGGGTTCAGAGTTTCACGGAGCCGTCGGCGAGTCTGTTTTCTCTCAGCGGTTTCGAGGGCCTTGAAGAGACGTGTTTCTCAGACGTGGAGAGCTTGAGCCACTTCTTCAGCCAGTCCGTGAGAGTCACCAGCGGCCTGTAAGAGCTCCTTCACTACTCGCTGTTCCTGTTAGTAATGCTCAGTCAGGGTGACGAACGCTGTCGTCTCACAGGTGGGTCGCGTATGAATACGCTCGTTTTAAGGGCCGCCAGACGCTCCTGCAGCCTGGAGAGTATCCGGTGTGGGGGGACCGGAGCGGCTGGGAGACCATCGGGTCGCTGAAGCCTCTCAAACAGGTCCGTTCAAAACATAATCACCACTAACTAATCGTGAAAAATGACAATTACAGGTTCTGTATGGATCTGGGTGTACACCATATTTACACCGTGAACAGTGATTGGCCACTGCATTAACGTCTGTGATTGGTTACGATGGCGCAGAAAACGCTCTCATCATAACTAACAGTGTAAACAGAATGTAAATGACTGATTGATTTAGCAGTATACACATGCTATTATTAGAACGGGAGTGTTTCAGAGATCGCAGAGCTCGGCTGAACTGGCGTGGTGTGATGCTGGGCGATAGGACAAAAGCATCATATGATCGCATCACGGTTTTTGTTCATACGTATAGCCAAAGGAATTTCCTTATTTGAAAAATAGAGCCTAAAAGGGAATAAAGCCTAAGAGAAAAATGAGTGACAGATCATTTAGACCAAAGTAGGTGTGATCGATATGACCAAAACCTTATTTTTAATAGCAAACGTATAAATATAATATAAAGGTAAAATAATGACATAAAGTGAAATAAGAACAAAGATGCAAATGACAAACAATAGGACTATATACAATATTAGAACGATACAAATGAAACAAAATGCTTTACATTTTTCAGGTACAGTAGGTCTATTTAACAGTAGCTGTCAAGTCAGAAATTGAATAATCAAATGTAAAAATAAAACTCTGCATAGTCTTCACTGTATGAATCAAATATACATTGATTCTTACTAAAGCATCAAAAGTTATTGCTCTTCAGCGAGGGATTTTTCTCTTCGTTGTGTTTAGTTTAATGAAACGGACAGAATCAGGAAGATTAGGCTGCTGTCACTTTAAGAGCGAATGCACGGATCTAATATACTGATACACATGCCGTTTCTTTTGCTGTTTATGTTCACTTAAGACAAAACTATGTGAAGCTTGTGTGTATTAGACAGTTTAAGTGCAATAAGAAAACTTAGTTCAGAGACTCGCTTTCTGTGTGTCAGAACAGTGTGAGTAAATTCAATCGAGTTTAAACTGGTGAGGCTTTAAAACACATGATGCCAAAGAACTGCGATGTCACCTCACCTCACACCTGAGGCGTGAGGCGATAGAGGTGAGCATGAGGATAGAGGTGAGCATGAGGATAGAGGTGAGCATGAGGATAGAGGTGAGCATGAGGATAGAGGTGAGCATGAGGATAGAGGTGCGCGTGAGGATAGAGGTGCGCGTGAGGCGATAGAGGTGAGCATGAGGATAGAGGTGCGCGTGAGGATAGAGGTGCGCGTGAGGCGATAGAGGTGAGCATGAGGATAGAGGTGAGCGTGAGGATAGAGGTGCGCGTGAGGCGATAGAGGTGAGCATGAGGATAGAGGTGCGCGTGAGGCGATAGAGGTGAGCATGAGGATAGAGGTGAGCATGAGGATAGAGGTGAGCATGAGGATAGAGGTGAGCATGAGGATAGAGGTGCGCGTGAGGCGATAGAGGTGAGCATGAGGATAGAGGTGAGCGTGAGGATAGAGGTGCGCGTGAGGCGATAGAGGTGAGCATGAGGATAGAGGTGCGCGTGAGGCGATAGAGGTGCGCGTGAGGCGATAGAGGTGAGCATGAGGCGATAGAGGTGAGCATGAGGATAGAGGTGAGCATGAGGATAGAGGTGAGCATGAGGATAGAGGTGAGCATGAGGATAGAGGTGAGCATGAGGATAGAGGTGCGCGTGAGGCGATAGAGGTGAGCATGAGGATAGAGGTGAGCGTGAGGATAGAGGTGAGCATGAGGATAGAGGTGCGCGTGAGGCGATAGAGGTGAGCATGAGGATAGAGGTGAGCGTGAGGATAGAGGTGCGCGTGAGGCGATAGAGGTGAGCATGAGGATAGAGGTGAGCGTGAGGATAGAGGTGAGCATGAGGATAGAGGTGAGCATGAGGATAGAGGTGCGCGTGAGGCGATAGAGGTGAGCATGAGGATAGAGGTGAGCGTGAGGATAGAGGTGCGCGTGAGGCGATAGAGGTGAGCATGAGGATAGAGGTGAGCATGAGGATAGAGGTGAGCATGAGGATAGAGGTGAGCATGAGGATAGAGGTGAGCATGAGGATAGAGGTGAGCATGAGGATAGAGGTGCGCGTGAGGCGATAGAGGTGAGCATGAGGATAGAGGTGAGCGTGAGGATAGAGGTGCGCGTGAGGCGATAGAGGTGAGCATGAGGATAGAGGTGAGCATGAGGATAGAGGTGAGCATGAGGATAGAGGTGAGCATGAGGATAGAGGTGAGCATGAGGATAGAGGTGAGCATGAGGATAGAGGTGCGCGTGAGGCGATAGAGGTGAGCATGAGGATAGAGGTGAGCATGAGGATAGAGGTGAGCATGAGGATAGAGGTGAGCATGAGGATAGAGGTGCGCGTGAGGCGATAGAGGTGAGCATGAGGATAGAGGTGAGCATGAGGATAGAGGTGAGCGTGAGGATAGAGGTGAGCATGAGGATAGAGGTGAGCATGAGGATAGAGGTGAGCATGAGGATAGAGGTGAGCATGAGGATAGAGGTGCGCGTGAGGCGATAGAGGTGCGCGTGAGGCGATAGAGGTGAGCATGAGGATAGAGGTGAGCATGAGGATAGAGGTGCGCGTGAGGCGATAGAGGTGAGCATGAGGATAGAGGTGAGCATGAGGATAGAGGTGCGCGTGAGGCGATAGAGGTGAGCATGAGGATAGAGGTGCGCGTGAGGCGATAGAGGTGAGCATGAGGATAGAGGTGAGCATGAGGATAGAGGTGAGCGTGAGGATAGAGGTGCGCGTGAGGCGATAGAGGTGAGCATGAGGATAGAGGTGCGCGTGAGGCGATAGAGGTGAGCATGAGGATAGAGGTGAGCATGAGGATAGAGGTGAGCATGAGGATAGAGGTGAGCATGAGGATAGAGGTGCGCGTGAGGCGATAGAGGTGAGCATGAGGATAGAGGTGAGCATGAGGATAGAGGTGAGCGTGAGGATAGAGGTGCGCGTGAGGCGATAGAGGTGAGCATGAGGATAGAGGTGCGCGTGAGGCGATAGAGGTGAGCATGAGGATAGAGGTGCGCATGAGGATAGAGGTGAGCATGAGGATAGAGGTGCGCATGAGGATAGAGGTGAGCATGAGGATAGAGGTGAGCATGAGGATAGAGGTGAGCATGAGGATAGAGGTGAGCATGAGGATAGAGGTGCGCGTGAGGCGATAGAGGTGAGCATGAGGATAGAGGTGAGCATGAGGATAGAGGTGAGCATGAGGATAGAGGTGAGCATGAGGATAGAGGTGAGCATGAGGATAGAGGTGCGCATGAGGATAGAGGTGAGCATGAGGATAGAGGTGCGCATGAGGATAGAGGTGAGCATGAGGATAGAGGTGAGCATGAGGATAGAGGTGCGCGTGAGGCGATAGAGGTGAGCATGAGGATAGAGGTGAGCATGAGGATAGAGGTGAGCATGAGGATAGAGGTGAGCATGAGGATAGAGGTGCGCGTGAGGCGATAGAGGTGAGCATGAGGATAGAGGTGAGCATGAGGATAGAGGTGAGCATGAGGATAGAGGTGAGCATGAGGATAGAGGTGAGCATGAGGATAGAGGTGAGCATGAGGATAGAGGTGAGCATGAGGATAGAGGTGCGCGTGAGGCGATAGAGGTGAGCATGAGGATAGAGGTGAGCATGAGGATAGAGGTGAGCATGAGGATAGAGGTGAGCATGAGGATAGAGGTGAGCATGAGGATAGAGGTGAGCATGAGGATAGAGGTGAGCATGAGGATAGAGGTGAGCATGAGGATAGAGGTGAGCATGAGGATAGAGGTGAGCATGAGGATAGAGGTGCGCGTGAGGCGATAGAGGTGAGCATGAGGATAGAGGTGAGCATGAGGATAGAGGTGCGCGTGAGGCGATAGAGGTGAGCATGAGGATAGAGGTGAGCATGAGGATAGAGGTGAGCATGAGGCGATAGAGGTGAGCATGAGGATAGAGGTGCGCGTGAGGCGATAGAGGTGAGCATGAGGATAGAGGTGCGCGTGAGGCGATAGAGGTGAGCATGAGGATAGAGGTGCGCGTGAGGCGATAGAGGTGCGCGTGAGGCGATAGAGGTGAGCATGAGGATAGAGGTGAGCATGAGGATAGAGGTGAGCATGAGGATAGAGGTGAGCATGAGGATAGAGGTGAGCATGAGGATAGAGGTGAGCATGAGGATAGAGGTGAGCATGAGGATAGAGGTGAGCGTGAGGCGATAGAGGTGCGCGTGAGGCGATAGAGGTGAGCATGAGGATAGAGGTGAGCATGAGGATAGAGGTGCGCGTGAGGCGATAGAGGTGAGCATGAGGATAGAGGTGAGCATGAGGATAGAGGTGCGCGTGAGGCGATAGAGGTGAGCATGAGGATAGAGGTGCGCGTGAGGCGATAGAGGTGAGCATGAGGATAGAGGTGAGCGTGAGGATAGAGGTGCGCGTGAGGCGATAGAGGTGAGCATGAGGATAGAGGTGCGCGTGAGGCGATAGAGGTGAGCATGAGGATAGAGGTGAGCATGAGGATAGAGGTGAGCATGAGGATAGAGGTGAGCATGAGGATAGAGGTGCGCGTGAGGCGATAGAGGTGAGCATGAGGATAGAGGTGAGCATGAGGATAGAGGTGAGCGTGAGGATAGAGGTGCGCGTGAGGCGATAGAGGTGAGCATGAGGATAGAGGTGCGCGTGAGGCGATAGAGGTGAGCATGAGGATAGAGGTGCGCATGAGGATAGAGGTGAGCATGAGGATAGAGGTGAGCATGAGGATAGAGGTGCGCGTGAGGCGATAGAGGTGAGCATGAGGATAGAGGTGAGCATGAGGATAGAGGTGCGCGTGAGGCGATAGAGGTGCGCGTGAGGCGATAGAGGTGAGCATGAGGATAGAGGTGAGCATGAGGATAGAGGTGAGCATGAGGATAGAGGTGAGCATGAGGATAGAGGTGCGCGTGAGGCGATAGAGGTGAGCATGAGGATAGAGGTGAGCATGAGGATAGAGGTGAGCATGAGGATAGAGGTGAGCGTGAGGATAGAG